TCATCACTGCCCTTTGCAGTGAGGCCCTCCAGACTGGACTGCTATGGACGGAGTGTAGGGTGGTCCTCGATTACTTTATTGCAAACAATTCGGCGAATGAATATTAAAACACAACCTTTGAGGGAATCCCTATACGTCTTTCATTGGAATAATATGCATGACGATTTCCCTCTGAACAGCAACGCTATGGTTGAACAACAAGTTGTACTGTAGCCATAAAATTTGCAAACATTTTATTTCTATTTTTATGAATAAAAAGTTCCTCACAGCAATGACAGGCAGCTTTTCAAAATGCGCAAAACATCAGGTGTAAGTGGAAATAAAAGATACATGGGAAAGTCTCTATAGTCCTCCGCTTATCCGGGTCCGGGTCGCGGGGGCAGCAGCCTCAGCAAAGAAGCCCAGACAGTCCTCTCCCCAGCCACCTCCGTCAGCTCTTCCGAGGGAACCCCGAGGCGTTCCCAGGCCAGCCGGGAACATGGGAAAGTTTTATAGGATATCTAAGTTTTATAGGCAATCTTATCTTCCTGTCTTTTATTTTGAAGTTACTTCCGCCTCTGATGTCACCGCCGTTCTACTTTTTGTCCAAAACAATAAATGAAAAAATGAATCTGCAAAAAACCAAAATCAGGCTGTTACTTGAATTTGGTTTTGTCATTTTTCGTTTTTTGATTCTGACAACAAAAACGGAAAAACGGCTCCATTTTCTTGTTTTTTCGTTTTAAAACAAAAAGGAAAAAACAGGAAAACCACGGTATTTCCGTTTTTTTGTTTTTGGTTTAAAACGAAAAAATGAACTGCCTGAAGGTACCCTGACCCAAACTGCACTCAGCTGCCAAACTTTGTGGGCGTGTTTGCGCTGGTATATCATTAGCGAAATATCCTTTGTAAATAGGACGTTAAGACGGAGCAAACTGCAGGTGCAAGTGAAGTGCAATTCAAGGTGTTATCAGCGGCCGCGGTTAATTCTTTGTGAATTCAGCCCTGAGTGTGTTGCAGTTACGGACTACTGGTGCAAGAGTAGTGCAACCATTTGCCTTGTATGTAAGGTTACAATCAAAGGGAACTGCAGGTATTGCACTGGCCTATCTCAAAGTGCAAGTGAGTGCAGATAAAAACAAATAAATAAAGAGGTGAAATAAAAAAAAAAAAACCACCAGTAAAAACAGTTAAAATTATATTAAATCAGTTGCGAGACCATAGTGCAAATAAAAACAATACTAGATAAGAACAACAATGACCAGACCATTTAGGCATAAAATAGCCCTGCGCACATACGGCTCAACCAGGGGGGCATCGCAGGGCCAGCAGGTGAGCAGGCAACCACCTATTAGCGTAATTGAGGAGAATTCAGTAATAAGCAATGGTAAACAGTGATTAATTTACGGTGAATTTGACGGGCAGGGGTTTAAGTTACATCCCTTTCTGAAACGGAAAACCCAGAGTTTCCCTCATTTCAGGGTTAACGGATTCAGAGTTTTCACTAAACCTGCTTTGTGAAACGGACCCCGGGTCCATAGTATGTTTGTGGTAATAGTGGTCAATGAAGGCTTCCAAGTCCATTATTTCTTCCACTGTGGTAATGGTTTGGTCCGCGTTTATGGTAGTGACTGGTATGTGTGTGTATTTTTATCAGATTGTTTTGTAGAAAGTTTTTAAAGACAGATGTTTTTATGGAGTTTACCAGTGTTGTTCTAGTGACAGCGTGTCGCCATGTTGGATCTCGCCTCCGTCAACTGGTCTCGCAATACGTCAGAGTGCCATCAGTCCGTCCTCAGCTCAGTCCGCCCCCTCCCTCAGACATGCGCTTCTGATGTGAATAGCCAGGCAGCTGCTGACAGCTGGCTGCGCGACAATTAAAAAATCAGGGCATTTCCACGTCCAGTGTCAACCCACCGCTCTGTGTATTCTCCTTCCTTTTGTCTGAACCCTGGGCAAGTTCGTGACAAATGTCTGAGTCTGAGTCCAGGAAGCATAACGTACCAGTGCAGACCTGGCACTTAACTGCACTCAAAAAAGACACACTCAAAAAGAAGTACTGTTTCAAGTTGACACTATGTAAACCAGTCTGATAAAACCAACATACATGCAAGTTACAGGAGTGATTTATTCCAGGATGCAGGTTGAGTGTACTAAGCTTCCTGATGAAGACACACAATTGTCAAAAGATCACACAAACTCAGCAGAGTAAGAGAATAAAAGAAAAATGGTGTGATCAAAATTACATGGTTGTGCCATCAATTGTGAAACCCCACTATTATACTGGAATATCATAATCCCCACTTTCCTCTTTGTTAAGGTGAGGGGCGCTGATAAGTGACGACACATCACTAGAAAACTAAGAACATGAGAAGAATATGTACAAAAGTTAAATTAAGGTGTAAATTAGAACACATAAATGTGAGCTGCTGTTTGTATCAAATACAAGGCAAACCAAGGGATGATCTTAGTGGTTATGGTTGCATTGGTAGTTTCTAAAGGCCTTTCATCCAAAGACCTTTTGATTCAGACTCTGCAGACTTGTTAATTTGCTGTGCAGCGTGTGTTGACAACATTGCTTACATCATTAGAGCAATCAAACAAACAAAAACACTCAGCAAGAGGCAACAGAAACAATAACCAGTGTTTACACATACCAATTAGAACTGAGTGTATCAAAAATATCCATATACATAATTGTCACTGTGCAGTTGTGAGCATCTTTGTAAGATGAGGACATTATCTAATGAAGACCATAAAATGATATTGCTCATAAAATTACATTTAAAGAATCAAGAATGAATTCATGTGAAGCAGGCAATGTGGTTAAGGAAATTGGAAACACTGAGAATTTTTCAAATTCAGGAAACTTTGTGAAGATTTGCTCTGAAACAAATTCCTATTTTGATAATATTGTAAAACACTCACACACGTCAAAGGTAATATGTACAAAGTAGAGATTGTTCGTATTTACACATTTACATATAACAAACCAAACCTTTAAGGACACACAATTCCACTGCGTGCTATGCCTAATATAGGCTGATAAAGTAAAATACATCAACTACACTTTCCCTCCATGACAGTGACCTTAATCTCCAGGGGAACAAGTCCACTTTCACCCCTAGCCCAGACAGCTTTGGGACGAGGAGGAGGAGAGAAAGGGGCGTACTGTTATTAGAAATAAATTACCTCGACAATGGGCAATGTCACTGGGCAGATTTATGTCTGCTGTTTGAGGCACCATGGGACAGATGATGAGCTCCTATGAAGCCAAACGACTTCTGTAAATGTGTAAATTATAAACCAAAATACAATGTATGTATGTCTGAAAAAAAGAACAAGGCTTTGTGAATACACAGTATATTCCATATTCCAAAGAAGCTGAGTGCTCTATGTACCTGTGAGTGGGAAATGAACATAGTGCAACACTACCCTCTTGTGTTTGCATTTTTACATGTCATCTGCCCTCTTTTTGTGTGTGTGTGTGTGTGTGTGTGTGTGTGTGTGTGTGTGTGTGGGGGGGGGGGGGGGGGTAGTACTACTACTATTACTACTACTACTACTACTACTACTGTTGTGTACTACAACAGCTCATCTAAGGTAACAAAGACATAATTCTTATTTTCAGGAGATTATAATCTATAGGCATCGATATTAAATTCCATTACTGCCACAAGATGCCTCTAACTCCTGCACACTAGACCTTTAATGCACACTACTCTTAATGCCTGGAAATTAGCTTTATGCACCTGCCTTTGGCCGCTCACTACCTTCAGTAACTACTACCTCTATAGTAGAAGATTTAACTCTCTCTGGAAACCAGTGCAGTGAGATTATAGATTATAATCTGTAGCCATCAATATAAAATTCCATTACTGCCACTAGATGCTTCTAACTCCTGCACACTAGACCTTCAATGCCCACTTCTCTTAAAGGGATAGTGCACCCAAAAATGAAAATTCAGCCATTATCTACTCAACCATATGCCGAGGGAGGCTCAGGTGAAGATTTAGAGTCCTCACATCCCTTGCGGAGATGGGGCTAGCAACAAAACTCCACCTAATGGAGGCTGGGCGCCCCAGATTAAAACGTCCAAAAAACACATAACTGAAACAACAGAATATCTCCATACTGCTCGTCCGTAGTGATCCAAGTGTCCTGAAGCCCCTGAAGTTGTTTGGAAAAACACCATTTAAACTCTATTTTTAGCCTCAATGTGGCCTGTAGCTCTAACTGCCTCTCTGTAGACCCGGTTCATGTGTGTGCGCTTGCGCGAGACCGTGAGACATCAGCACCGCCGTCATGTGTGTTCATGTGCTTTCGCTGGTCTTGCGTGCAAGCGCGCACACGTGAGATCGGTGTACACAGAAGCAGTTAGAGCTACAGGCTAGAGGGTGACACGGGAGTGGATTTTCAGTCCCGTCCCATCCCGCTCCCACAAAAATAATCCCATCCCGTCCCAATCCCATGAAAAAGGAAAAAAAAATCCCATCCCATCCAGCTCCCGTGTTGTGTTTCAGTTACAGTAAAAAAAAAAAAAA